CGTCTTCTATTAACTTTACAAATCCCTCTCTTTTACATCCATTTGCCAGGGCACCATCAGTAACAATAGCAGATATGTTGACAAGGGTCAAAGAAAATTCCTTAAACATATTTTTTATTGCTTCATATAAATCCTTAGACTTAGTTGCCTTTCTTTTCTTTTCCTTTCTGGTTTTTTTTTTTTTTTTTTTTTGAAGTTTTCGGCCAGGGCCGGGCTTGAACCCGCCACCCTCAGTATATGGGGCTGGCGCCCTACTCCTTGAGCCACAGGCGCCGCCCAAGTCTGTCCACTTTTTATTGAACAATCTTTCATCCATCATTTTTCATTTGGGGGTTCTGTTTTCTTTTCAGACATTGTAGAAGCCATGCCGGGATTATAAAAAATAATGATAGATAAGGGACTATGTTTACTTTTATTATGAAAATTAGTTGACAGGAAAACAGAAAGCAAAGTTTGTGCCCTTCCACATCTCCCTGACTGTAAAGCGTAGTGTTTGATGTTCAAGGCACCGCTGGGATGTGGCAGTACCTCAATATTCTGGCAGAAAAATAGCTACCTGACTTCTAGAGAACATTAAACTCCTAATGTGGCAATGGTAGGTTGAAATATTATTGATAATGGCGGCCTGACCAAGTCACCACAAGCTCAGGTGCCAATTCGAATGTCTGCGCTTCGAAGATACACAATGGAAGCCACCCACTGCCACAAAACTGAAGCCACACATGCGTACAAATAGCGACTGTGTACCCTACATTTATTTTACAGGACACTGTGGCATGGCATTGTCAAAACAGAAAACACACTCTAGAGAACCACACGATCGAGTTTCACCAAAACAAACAAGCAAAATGCATAACATTTTAAATAAGTTTACCATTTTCTGACAGGATGCAGTCATCGCCATCCCAGCCCACAGGTGGACCGCAAGCCATTCACGGCTTGGACACCGTGCCATAAGGTCACATGGGCCTCCTACATTTTCTTGTGACCTTGCTTCAAAGTCAACATTTCCTTTAAATAAGAGGGGCCCGTGCACTACGAGAGGCCTGCCCACAAGTCTACAGGCAAAGAACCTGCTGCATGTCAGGTGGAAGAGCTCCATGGGGTTGCAAGCCAGGGCAGGGGAGAGGAAAGCAGGACGGACACCTACCAGAACACAAGCTCTGTAGGGGACTCACTTTCCGGCAGCAAGGAAGTGGCAGAATCTGGCTTAGAACAGGATAGATCGCATGTATGCTGAGGTCAGGACATGGGCGACACCAAGCCAGGGAGGGTGAGGGTACAGACACAAGTTACTCAGAGCACCCAGGTAAATCTGCAGCATGATGGCTGCTCCTGGGGTTGGCTGCAAGGATCCAGGAAGCAGGGCGCTGGGGAGTAGGCCCTTCTCCCTTGTCTCGGATCCTCACTTCATTGTCCTCACTCCCCAAGGTTAGGCCCTGGCTGGGGACCTGGGGAGCCAAGGCTCAGGCCCCACCAGCAGGGGGCGGTCCCACAGGCAGAAGGTGGTCTCACGAGGGCGTGGCCCGGAGAGGCTCCGCCCACAGAGAGAGAGAAAGAGAGAGACTCACGCACACGCACACGCACGCATACACGCACGCGTGGGCGCGGTACTGGCCAATCAGCGAGGCCAGCTGTTCCCGCGCAGACCTGGCCTCAGAGGAGCGCGTCTGTGACGCCTAGCAGACTGTGAGGGGGCGCTGTCGCGTTTGGTCAGGTGAGGCGCTGCTGCTTGTGGAGGCGGGGCTGGCCGGACTGGCGGAGCTCCGTGTCCCCGGGGGACCCCGGGGACGTGGGTGTGGACTCAGGCAGGGCTGGGCCGAGGCTGCCCTCTGCGGAGATGTCTGTGGCGTCGCGTGGGGCCTGGGTGAGGGCGAGGGCCCTGAGACTCGGCCTGGGGGCGGGCCTGAGGGCCTCCAGGTCCCCTGACGGAGGCTCACGGTGGAGATTGGTTGGTGGATTAGGTGGGTGGAACAGTCCAGGAGCTTCCCTCCTACCTGGTCCATGTAGAAACGGAACACTTGGGTCCCCTGGGGTCCCCCTGGCGTCCGCAACGGCGAGTGGGCAGTGGCGGCACCTGAGAGTCCCGGACAGGTGCGAAACGGATCATTTCCCATCCCGAGGGCTGGAAGGATACGGACTCACCGCACAGTCTGACTCACCCCACAGTCGTTTCCCCTGACTGACCCGCAGGCAGGGCGTCCCTGAGGACCGGAGGGCCTGGCAGGGGTGGGAAACGGGGACCACGGCAGGCCGTGGGGGGCATGTGCACCCTCTGTGGCCAGCACGGGGGGACCGGGCAGGACGCGATGGGGAGTGGAGGAGCGCTGGCGCCATTTTCCTGGTCCCCTGCTGCCGGGACAGGAGGCGTGAGGGCGCCCGGCCCTGCTCTACTTAACCCGGACAGCGTCGTCGTCACCAGCGGGCTCTCTCCCAACCCAGCCGCATTTCTGTAGAGTGTCTTTGCGCTCACAGGGGTCGAGTGGAAGTCGTCTCTAGCGCCCAAGACAGCCAGCCATGGCACCCAGGAGAAGGGTTTCCGTCAGGAGGGCCACCAGGGCCCCGGTGGAGGCAGAGGCTTCGGCAGCCTGTGACTTGGGGCACGGAGGTAAAGGGGCAGGGGGCGAGGGTCCCAGGAAGGCTGTACCCGCCCAAGGGCTCGATCTGTCGTCTGTCGTGTGTCTTGGCAGCTGCAGTGCCGAGCGCACCGAGCCCGTCATTGCTCTGGATTCGGCCAGTGCAAACGCTGAGGAGCCTTGGGTTTTCCCCTCAGAGGGTCAGACTCCCATCTCAGAGCCGAGTCCGAGGTCCCCCAGCCCAGCCCTCCCGCAGGGGTGCAGCCCTGCCTCCTCTTGTCCCATAGGCGGTGCGTGGCTTGCTGCGACTGGAAGGGGGCGTAAAGGGGAGCTGTGTATAAAGGGTCGGGGCCCAGACTCATTTCCCATGGCCCGCACCTAACGCTTCCACGCACAAGTCTGCTCTCCATGTCTTGGTGGCAGACAGCCTAGGAATTCTGCCACTACCACACTGCTCCAGCGTCCTGTCCTTTAAACATCTTTGTCCTTTTGCTTTCAATATAGCAAACACTCCAGGAATAGATGACTGTGATGGAAGCAACCCCTTTTCAGATGCAGCTCAGCAGGATATGTGGTAATGTGTTGAGTATTTTTTTGCCCGCTGATAAAGTCATTGAGGAAAATCAGCACTGACTCACGTGGCACAAGTTGTGTGTAAAGCACGTGGCATAAGCCCCATCTTCCAGTGCACACGTGATATTTCACTAGCCCCTAATGTAAAACTCAATGCAATGTCTTCACAGGAATGAACTCCAGAACATGTTGAAGAAATATGAAGGTATGTTTGAGGAGATAGATGTAGGCAAAGAAACTTTTCATAACCTATAACTTAGGTAACAGCAACTGTCAACAGTGGGCTGCACCACTGTTCTTACTGCCTGCTTCTCATGTGCAGGATGTCCCGGCAGTATGGAGTGTGATTCAGCTCCCCAGATTTCTTTACTTACCCCTTTTTGATTGTTGGTGTGAAGAGGGCGGTGCTCACGGTGGTGCCATCCATTGTAAGACTCATGCTTTCATTTGATGCACTGTGGGAGTGCATCCGGCAGACCCGGAAGAACCGATCTCACTTCCATCTTGTGCCACATAGCAGATCATATATCCAGTTTTAATGTCTATGTTTAGAATTCCCATGTCAGTTGTTTTCTAGAACTTGGGAAATTCTTTCCTTTGGTTGGTAGCAGTGCAGGTTGAGACCTCTCCAATAGCTGCTTGTGGTTATATTGACCTTAATAACCCTTGTAGTAGAGAACTAAACTGCTGGCAGCAGAGCGATTTATTGTCACAGTCAATGGTAAGTCTTACATACATGTTTCAGATATCACTTACCTTGACTGTGTGAAAGGATGTCCACTTAATAGGGTCAGAGTCTAATTTTGACTCCTTTGTCGGTGGGGAGAATTCATAGGGGAAGAAAGGTTTTGAGAACTTGCTCTGGTCGTGACAATGTGTCTGGTTCATGAGCTGTCTTACCATTTGATTATTGTAGATGGTAAAGTTTACTTACAGAGTACTTGTGAAATGATGCAGTTCATTCACGATTACTGGAAAATAAGTATTTTCGGTAATTCCATAACATAGAGTCAGTCATAGGCTTAGCAACGCATTGTCTGAAATATAAAAAAAAAA